TATAGAGAAACAAATGGAGGGTTTGACGATAGAGGTCATTGCCACCAAGCAGTTATTGGAGTCAGCTCATGCGACTCATCTCGAAGCTCAAGAAAAGAAACTCGATGCAGCCATGGCTCGGGACCAAGACGTTTATAACCAAGAGAAGGAACTTAAAATGGTGGAAGACGAGATTAAGAGGTTTAGACAAGACATTGATGCGGCGGATGATGTGAAAACCAAACTAAAGACTGCTTCTGCACTTCAACAAGATTTGAGAGCCGAAATAGCTGCTTACAAAGACTCAAACATGGGAAAGAGAAACAACAGTGACATACAAGCAGCTGTTGATTCCGCGAGGAAGGAGCTTGAAGAAGTTATATCCAACATTGAGAAAGCAAATTCCGAGGTGAAAACTTTGAAGATAATTGTCGGATCATTGCAGTCCGAACTCGCGAGAGAGAAGCAAGATTTATCGGAAACCAAACAGAGAAACAGAGAAGTAACAAGAGTGGATAAATGCACCGAGATAGCCAAGAAGTTGCAAGAAGCTAGTAGGGAGGCAGAGGAGGCAAAGTCACTTGCCATAGCTGCTCGAGAGGAGCTGAGAAAGGCGAAGGAAGAGTCGGATGAAGCGAAAACAGGACTCTCTGCGATAGAAAGACAGTTAATGGAGGCGAAAAAGGAAATGGAAGCTTCTAGAGCTTCTGAGAAGTTGGCCTTAGCTGCGATAAAAGCGTTGCAAGAGACTGAATATGCTAACAAAATCGAAGACATAAGTAGTTCACCAAGAAGCATAATAATTTCAGTGGAGGAATATTATGAGCTAAGCAAGCAAGCACATGAGGTTGAAGAGGCAGCGAATAGAAAACTAGCGGAGATCGTCTCCAAAATCGAGGTGGCTAAGGAAGAGGAATCAAGAATCTTGGAAAATCTAGAGGAAGTGAGTAGAGAAACAGCAATAAGAAAGGTAGAGCTAAAAGAAGCAATGACAAAAGTTGAGAAAGCTAGAGATGGGAAGGTTGGTATGGATCACGAGTTGCGAAAATGGAGGTCGGATAACGGGAATAGGAGCCCCGAGGGAGGAAATAAGGAGAACTTAAGCAAGTCCAAATCAGCTTTACATAAACCAACATCATTTGCATTTGGTGAGCAAGCAAGCAGTAGTAATGTGACCCCTGAAACAAAAAAGAAAAAGAAGAGATTCTCTTTACTACCAAAGGTCTTCATGTTCTTGTCAAGGAAGAAGTCGTCCAATAAGTGAGTTTCTTACAGGTAGGTTTTATTGTCCTTTTTTGACATATTCGATTTGTATGTCATTATGGAAATGGAATACATAGTATCTGAATTGAGAGAGAACAGTGAACTTTTAAGTTTGTTGGTTAGAATAGATTTGTGGTACTCTTAATGAAATAAAGGTATTGATACACTTTTCGAATAATCGAATTTTTTGTTACAAAAGAATGTACCTAAGAAGCAGAAGTGAAGAGGGTTTGAATGATGGTCTTATGCCATGGATTAGAGAGATGCTCGACAAGGTTATCGATAGGGCCAGTGTGAGTCACAGAGGCTTGAACAAAGAACCCGAGCATCGCCATCATCGCTAGACGACCTGTTAAAAACCAATCCATCAATGTCCCACACAGAGTTTATGAGGAAGGAACCAAACAAAAGTAAGTCTATTACCGTTCTTGATCTCCTTAAGCTTCCAGTCATGAGCATTTTTAATATCCTTAGCAAGGCCTAATGGGTTTAAAAGCGGTCCTCCGGGATATCCAGGCTCGAGTCCCTCGAGTGATGCTTCAAGTCCAAAGAAAAAAGATCCTTCTTTGGCTTGAGAGCCCGGAGAGACATAATCCACATACCTTTTAGTCTCAGCAAACCTGTGAAGAAAACAATAGAGAACCATTCTAAGCTTTTGCTGGTTAACAATAAAGATAGATAATGAGTTTGATTCATTACCCCATAAGTAGAAACTGTACAACTATGAGTGTTTTTGTGCTAGCAAAATCAAATTTAACAGCTCCAGCTTCATACCAAACCGGTAAATTACGAATCCCTGTGGTCCGAAGCAGCTAATGCAACCAAAACAAAGCTCTAAGTTTAGCTATATTTTGAGACATTTTAAGATTGAGAAAATGTTGAAGATAAGTGATTACATCGGTGAAGAGTATTCCTGCAACACCAAGCATAGCGAAACGAGAGTGAACAAGCTCTGCTTGAACATACCATCTCAAACTTTCCGGATCCTCTCCTAACCCGAGTGGGTCAAACCCGTAATCTCCAGCTAACCTTTATTTCAAGAACGCAAAAAGATTAGTGTTTTGGTCTTTTGTGAAAATGGGAGACAAAAGGAACTCACTTTCCATCAAGATAAGGAGGAGGGTTGAGGCCAGGTAGCCACGTGGCACGTTCAACAACCACTGTTGGGTTGATGCCTCCTCCCGCGGCTTTGACGGATGAGATTCTTCTTGTGATGACGGATGAAGTGTCGCGACGTTGGTGAAGAAATCCTCCGGTGATGCCTCCACGTAAAACTACGGCCATTTTGCTCTGTTTTTTTGGTTTACGTTTGTGTTCTGTTCTGACTCTGTTATCGGCAAGTTGAAGCTAAGAAAGTAACGAGCTCCACGTAAATTAGTTTTTTTTTTTTTTTTTTTACAACAATTAGTCATTTCGATAAAAAAAAATATTAAAATAAGAAGATAGGAAAAGTAATGGTTTTGAATGGTAACCCCATATAGCTATAGGGTGTACCGCTTTAACAATTATCAATCATAAAAGCGATATTAAAAGCGTTACTAAAAGTTTTACTCTTAGCTTTTTGTACAGTTTTCATGTACCACTGTTTTGATAAGCTTTGCACTATTAAGTAAAAGCTTACCGCTTCAGCTAATAGTTAAAAAAGTTATACAACTTTGTTAATGTTTGATACACCAAAATAAATAAATAAAACAACGACCTAGAAATCAAAGAAAAGAAACTAAACATTAACAAGTCTCAGTAGTGGTTGATTCAAATACTCACAGTGATCTCTTAACACTTCAAATAGTTGGGATAGACATAATGCATAAAAGCTTCAATGAAAACGGTTAAAACCCATAACAAAGATGGTATACCATGGTAAAACCTTGTCTATAAATTGGTCGGCAGGATAAAAAAACCTTAAAGAATCTTTTGGAAGAGAAGATAACGGCAACAAAGAAATCAGATTTTGTTTTTTTCATGTTTTTTCCGGCTAAACAAATTTATTAACCGAGTTTACAAATAATTTTTTAATCATTCCATTCCATATAAGACTATATGTATAAATATTCTATTTTCTATATTTTTTGTAGAAAATGTCATGTATGCAACATCCAGTCGCCGGATATGAGGATGCCGATACCCTTGACCCCTGGGACATCGAAAACGTTCAAGTGCCACAACATCTCCACCTTAAGTCTGTCATAGGTAAAGTTGTTGAACTTCTTACCCAAAAATTAGGGTATGTGGGTACAAAAAACGCAGCAGATGTCGAGATGATAGGCTTGATTGAAAGGTGGGTGAGTGAGAGAGAGTCGGGGATCATCGTGCTGATTTCCTTGTGTTATTGTTGTATCAGACATCGAGTGCTAGTAATGAATTAATCTCTCTATTAATTTCTTCTCAATTCTTATAATACTCAATCACACATTTACACTTTTTCCGCTCAACCAAAATAATAATAATTTGTAGATCAAGAAGAAACAGGAAAAAATATTTTCCTATTTGTATGCCATAATGTGTTAACCATTTAGGAGGACATTTGGAAATTTCTTGTCATTATTTTATTTAGTGATTTTTTCTCGCGTTTGAGGTTTTGAATTGTACCAATGCCTTCTTCTATTTTCTTTATGTTTTTATAGTGTTTGTCGATGTTCATTCTTATAAATATGTACTAGATGATATCCATACAGCCGTATTACATCACAAGATGGTTTATTTTTATATAAGTATTATTAAGTTTTATTAAATAATTTTATGGTTGTAATTAATTTTAGTTTGGCTAGTATGTGTCTAGGGGTGTTAAAATGGGTCAAAATTCATGGGTCAACCCAACTCAACTCAATCCATGAACCCTAATGAGTTGAAAATTTTGACTCAAATGAGTTGATGGATCAAATGAGTTATTGAGTCAAATGGGTTGATGGATCAAATGAGTTGGGTTGTAATGGGTCAATGGTTTTAATGGTTTACCCATTTAACCCATCAATTTTTGTTAAATTGAATCAAACCAATTCAAATCTCTAAACCGATTTTAATTTGAGTCTAACCAAAACTTCTAAACCGATTGAATCTAGTCCTTAATTTTCCCGCCAAAAATGTGAATACACAATTTTCCCATCAAAATAAAATTCGTGATTTTCCCGCCAAAACGTAAATCCGTGATTTTCCTGCCAAAATTTTTTATAATTTTTAATCAAAAATGAGAATGTAAAATTTTCCCGCCAAAAACGTAAATATATAATTTTCCCACCAAAAACGTAAATCCGTGATTTTCCCGCCTAAATTTTTTATAATTTTTAATCAAAAATGAGAATATAAAATTTTCCCGCCAAAAACGTAAATCCGTAATTTTCCCGCCAAAAACGTAAATCCGTGATTTTCCCGCCAAAAACGTAAATCCGTGATTTTCCCGCCAAATTTTTCTTATAATTTTTAACCAAAAATGAAAATGTAAAATTTTCCCGCCAAAAACGTAAATCCGTAATTTTCCCGCCAAAAACGTAAATCCGTGATTTTCCCGCCAAAAACGTAAATCCGTGATTTTCCCGCCAAAAACGTAAATCCGTGATTTTCCCGCAATTTTTTTTATAATTTTTAACCAAAAATGAAAATGTAAAATTTTCCCGCCAAAAACGTAAATCCGTAATTTTCCCGCCAAAAACGTAAATCCATGATTTTTCCGCCAAATAATAGTGATATTGATTATTATTATTATTATTATTATTGTTATATTTTAATTATTAATTTATTTATTTCATTAATAGGTTAATGGGTCAACCCATTTAACCTTCTAACCCATCAAATTAAATGAGTTCATGGGTTGACTCAACTCATTTGCTTAAATGAGTTGAGTCAACCCATGAACTCATTTAACTCGAAACTCATTGGGTAATGAGTTGAGTTGAGTTGGGTTAACCATTTTGACACCCCTATATATGTCGTATAAAATATATCTCTTTTTAAAAGTATTGTTAAGTTTTTTTAAAGAGAAATTGTTAAAAATGCCCCTTTTTCAATACCCCTTTTCAAAAATGCCCCCTTTGAGAGTCCATTTTTAAGTTTGCCCTCTTTTAATTTTTAATGACCATTTTACCCTTATTTGAAACAAAATTAGGTCCACAAAATACAAAATATTTTTTGGCGGGAAAAGTGATCCCGCAATTTTCCCGCCAAAACACTTGTAAAAATCCTTTAAAATACCTTGTAAAATTTTCCCGTAAAATTTTTTCCCGCCAAAAAATTTTCCCGCCAAAAAATTTTTTTGCGGGAAAAGTGATTCCGCAATTTTTTTTTTTGGCGGCAAAATTTTTGGCGGGAAAAATTTACAAGGTATTTTAAAGGTTTTACAGAGTATTTACAAGTGTTTTGTAAGGTTTTACAATGTATTTTAAAAGGTTTTACAAGGTACTTATAAGGTTTTATAAGGTATTTATAACTTGTAAAACCTTATAAAAAACTTGTAAAACCTTATAACTTGTAAAAACCTTATAAAATAGCTTGTAAAATCTTATAATATTTTATAAATACCTTGTAAATACGTTGTAAAACCTTTTAAAATACATTGTAAAACCTTATAAATACCTTGTAAAAAACCTTTAAAATACCTTGTAAATTTTTGGCGGGAAAAATTTTCCCGCCAAAAAAATTGCGGAATCACTTTTCCCGCAAAAAAAAATTTTTGGCGGGAAATTTTTTTGGCGGGAAAAAATTTTACGGGAAAATTTTACAAGGTTTTTTAAAGGTTTTTTACAAGTTTTTACAAGTGTTTTGGCGGGAAAAATTGCGGGATCACTTTTCCCGCCAAAAAATATTTTGTATTTTGTGGACCTAATTTTGTTATTTTCCTTATATATTTGTGATATCTTTTATTAAAAAAGGGTAATTTAGTCATTTTGTACATAAAAAGGGGTATTTTTAAAAATGGACAGCCAAAGGGGGCATTTTTGAAAAGGGGTATTAAAAAAGGGGCATTTTTGTGAGTCTCCCTTTTTTAAAAGATGGTTGTAATGAATTTTGGTTAGGTTATTATTTGTCGTATATTGCATTGTTTTACACATATTTTATAGTACTGAAATATAAAAACATTTCTTGTTTATTATTATTTTCTATTTAGATAGAAAATTGGTTATTTATATAAAATATTAAAATTTATTCCCAATGAGAATTTTATTTTCTCAGAACCAAGGGCATTTAATGTTTGTTTTATAAATGTACTTTCAAGTCAATATTAGTAGAATTAATGTCACTCATAGTTTTTAATTAAAAAAAATTTCTTATTGTCGTGTTATTGTGCTTTCTTATTTGCTAATGCGGTTATATTCAAACTTTTTTTTTTTTGGTAGGTACGATTATATTCAAACTTGAGCATAGCCTATCTCATTTTTTAAAATATTAATTTACTTTTATTTTTTGGTTAAGATAGTTCAAAATCAAATCCTTCATTAAACCAAACTTTTAGTTTGAGTAGGATTTATTTTAGTTTTCTCATATATGTTTTTATTAGTATAAACCATAATGGCTGAATTTGTTACAATCCAAATACAAATTTAAATTAAAAATATCTTAAATTTTTTTTTTAATAAGACAACAAATATATTTATAACATGAAAAAAATAGATCTTGTGACCTAAACAACATTTTTTTTTGTTCTGTTTCACCTATTGTTCTCTTTAAGCATCCATTAATCAAATCGTAAAACCCCAAAAAGCTGGTTAGGCCCAATAAAGGCCCAAATAGAAGACTTTCCTCTCCATCCGCCCATTCCTCTGGTCGCAAGCTTTCCACGGTTCCGATTCTCCGAATGGATAATGTAACCGTTTAGCTCTCTCTTCCTCTATCTCTCTTTACACTTCCATAAATCTTACGGCCATGAGCTTGGCTTCGATTTCCTCGTCGCCGCCGGTGGCTTCGCCGTACTTCCGCTGCCGTGCTTACATCTTCTCCTTCTCTTCGTCACCTCTCTGTTTATATTTCCCGCGCGGTGACTCAACTTCTTCCCTCAGGCCACGAGTTCGCGCCTTGCGAACGGAATCCGACGGTGCTAAAATCGGTAACACGGAGTCTTACGGCTCGGAATTGCTTCGTCGGCCGCGTATTTCGTCTGAGGAAAGCGCTGAAGAGGAGGAGGAAGAGGAAGAGAGCGGTGAAGGTGATGAGTTCGTTGATTGGGAAGATAAAATCCTTGAGGTTACTGTTCCTCTTGTTGGCTTCGTCAGGATGATTCTTCACTCTGGAAAGTATGTTTTTGTATCATTACGCTGTTACTACTGCGCAAGCTTTAATCATTTAGGAGGCAATTGGTTGCAGAATTTCATACTCTAAATGGGGAATTTAACAAGTTTTTGGTATTTTTGTTGTCTAATTGAGTGTTTACTGGTTGATATGATCGAAATTGGAGCTCGAGATACTCTCTATTACTTGGAAAATTGGTTCTAGTTCTTATGAGTTCGCTAGAGTTAGTATCTGTTGATATGATCATGTATTAGTTTACGGTACTACTGCGTGAGCTCTAAGCATTTAGGAGGCAATCGATTGCAGAAGTTCATAGTCTAGAAGGGAAATTTAACACTTGTTGTAAGAGTGTTTAAAGGTTGATATGATCATGTAATGGGAGCTCAAGAGTCTCTCTATAACCTGGGAATTGGTTCTAGTTCTTCTGAGCCCGCATGAGTCATATCTAGAAGCTTTTTTCTTGATTTGCTTTATGAATGAGTCTTAAGAGATTAGTTGCTTTCAGTATGGATTAGATGTGAAATGGTTAGGAAGATTTTTGAATGTTGTGCTTGTATATTCAGAGATTCATGGGGAGTATTTTTGATTCATTGGTAGCTTTGTGTGACATTTTGAATTGCAGATATGCAAACCGAGATAGGCTAAGCCCCGAGCATGAGAGAACAATTATTGAGATGCTGCTTCCTTATCATCCTGAATTTGAGAAGAAGATTGGATGTGGTATAGACTATATTATGGTATGTATCATGCTTTCGAGATTTGGAAACAACATTAGTGATTAACCTATGTGGACATATTGCTTCTTATGGTCATCCTCTCTGAAAATTGATTTGACATCGTTTTTCCTTTCACAAATTAGGCATAGGTTTATATTTTCATTTTCGGATTGTTTGTCTGCACTTTTCAATCTGTTCTTTGTCTTTGCGAAGACTGCATTCCTTGTTTCAACTTCCACATTCTTCTTAGTGGAAACAGGTCATTTAGAACTAGCTGTTCCACAGCTTTTTTCATGTTTTTTTTTTTTTTTGTTAGTATGATAGACATAATTGATTTTCATGTCAAAGATAGAGATGATATCTTGATTGTTTCGGGTTTGTGGTTGCAGGTTGGGCATCACCCAGATTTTGAGAGCTCTCGATGTATGTTTATAGTTCGAAAAGATGGAGAAGTAGTCGACTTTTCGTATTGGAAATGCATAAAAGGTCTTATAAAAAAGAAGTACCCTCTGTACGCAGACAGTTTCATCCTCAGACATTTTCGCAAACGTAGGCAGAACAGATGAATGAAGCTTATGTAGATTCTCAAACTCAAACTCAAACGCTCGTAGACTCGGATCCTCGTCTCCCAACTACATCCTACAAGGTTTTGGAGTGAGAACTCAGACACAGAAGATCCAGTCACTATTTTTCTTTGAGTTGGAATTACGAATGGAACTTTCTAGAAAATATGGTTTCCGCAGGAGATATGAAGAATTAGAACCATCAGAAATATTAATATGTTCATTATCTTAAATCTTTAGCGTTTATATGTTGAATCTGTTACATTGAACTTATGTGCAGAGGTAGAGAAAACCAGTACACACTTGTGTGCAGAGCTTGATATTCAGATGCAGTTTTCTTCTTAAAAGTGTTTTTGGTTTTGCTTTTACATTTTACTTATTACTGTTGTCTGATGTTTGGTAAGACTAAGGCACAAACTAGTTTCATAACTCAAATTGGAATTTCTACATTTAAGTTTATATCCAAATTTTCAAATACGCAAGTTTTAAGAGTCCAAATTAGCCCTGGCCATTGTAACTAAACCGAAAATTTTGACCTACTTGAACTAAGATTTGGTCAATTCGGAGAAAACTGATTGGCTTAAGTTGAAATTATACTCATTTCTTACTACCAAAATCTCTACAGACAAACACATAGCAAAAGCTTAAAACCACAGTTCTTACGAATCAGTTCCTTAGTTCGTGTATTTTTTTTAAAAAAAATCTAAATCATATTAGTTACATGCTTTAAAACTTAATATTATACAATTCTGTTTATTGGATTGTGTTAGATACAGATGTAAAACTTTTAAATTTGTTTGTTCAAGGCTCTGATTGGTGGTTTTGAAAATAGAAAAAAAAAAAAAAAAGTAGAAAAGAGATGATTATTTAAAAAAAAGTTGGAAAATAAACTAATGGAGTAATTTTTTTTACTTTAATCAAAACAAAAGTAAAATTGAGTGTGTAGTTCTTTCTCTCTCTACTCTAATAACTAGACTAATTTTAGATCTAGAGTAAATTATTATTCTATGAGCAACAACTAGTTAAAACCTAAGTTTTCTATAAAATAATTAATTATTTTGTATTTTAAAATAAATATATTAATTAATATACTTTTAAAGAGCTTTTGCAAGCAAAGTCAAAACTTATCAAACTATATAAATTATACTAGAGTCAATGATGTACTTTAGAAGAAAAACACTACTATAATTAGTGAATTGAGAGTATTATTGTCCTTGTATTAATTTTTAAACTTGAAAAACTATAAGGTGGGTTTGATAATGGTGAAGTGAACCCAACTAAAAACTAGAGACGTGGACCAATGAAAAAGAAGTAAGAAGACTCTTTGGTTTCTGACATGTTCCCACAAACAAAGTCGATGTGAAAGCAAATAATGTCCGTCCACGTA